AAAAGGACTATAAAACCCTAGAAAACAATTTTATTAATAAATATTAGAAGATATATTTTCATAGAAAAGGCAGAGTCAGCATAAGAAGAGATTATTGGTGAGTAAAGTGAACTCATTTAGTAAATAACATTTAAAAAAAGCATCACAGTGGATAAATTTGTACAGAAGCTCCTTCTGTTAAAAAAATATTTGTTCTAAGTCTAATGAATACAAAACTTCTAGAGATCCAGAATAAAACACGCCACTGCTCGGAAACAAGGGATCAAGACACACCTGGTCATTTGGGTCTTGGCCTTTGCTTCATCACTCTAAGGCACAGTTGCTGGTCTTGTGCTAGTATTGAGGAAGATAAGCTAGATATCTCCTGTTCAAAATGCCACTCAAAAGATAGTAAAGGAATGAAAATTAAACCCACAAAGACAAACAATGGCGGTGGCGGCTTGGCGGAGGAGAGCTCTGAAGCAGATGGAGGAGTGATACTGAATTAGTGGAATGATAGATGCTTCAGCCTGAAGTGCCGGCAATATAGGAATGAGGTGATTTGCCTGCAGAACTGCTGAGAGGCTCAGAGATGGAAGGCATCGGTTACTGCAGAAGGCAGGGTGAGGGGCCAACATCTAGGGAATTGTTTAAGAGCCTTGAGAGCTGGAGCAATTAGACTTCCAGGGTCTCCTCTGCACCCTGATATCTGACCCCCTCCCCACCCAGCAGCAGACTGGAGGTCTGTTCTCTGGAGAAATTGAACTGGAATAATGTTGGAAGGGGGTGTGGGTAACTGAGAATGGGGGGATTGAATGAGTTCTGGGACCTCCATGCTCTCCCCGGTCCTGTCCCACAATGCCAGCAACCAGGCCCGTGTAGCCCCAGCAGTGGATTGCAGGATTCTTTTCTTGAGAAATCGAATAGCTCCAGAAAAAAATGCCCCCAGATGCTGAAATGTGTGGCTCCTCAGTGGAAAGCTTGGCACCTTTTTTCCCCATATTAGCTGACGTTCATCAGCTAATAACTCCTCTCCACATAAACAGGCTTCAGTCTGCTTTTAGTATTTCACTCTTAAATCCTTAAATAGGATCAAGCAGCCAAGGATTCGGTTTATATTAGGAAAGCCCTCAATGTGAAAGACAGGGACCAAAACCAACAGGAAGCAGAAACTTTGCAGAAGATGGAGATGTTGCAGATGGTAGAGAAAACAAATGTTTTTGAAAAAAAGTTACGGTTAATATCCTGAGAAAGAGAGACAAGCTATTTCGTGTCTAAAATAAGAATAACATTTATGAAAGAGAAACAATTAGAGAAAAACAGATATTGGAAATTACAAATTAAATGCTTGAATTTTTAAAAAATAGTTGATGCCGTATCTCTCTAAAAGTAGAACAAAAAAGACAGAGTTGAAAAGTAGATGAGAAAAGAAATTCGAAAAATTGAAATTCGATCTAAAAGATTCAACATTACTAATAGATGCGAAAACCAAGAACAAAATAAAATGGTTCTCTGAACATTATCACACAGGAATAATACAAGAACATTTCATAGAACTAAAGACATGAATTTCCAAATTGAAGGAATATATTAAGCCCCCATGTTTTATAAAAGTGCCCAATTTTATAAACCCTCACTCAGGCACGTCATTGTGAAATTTCAGAACACCAGCGACAAAGAAAAGGTCCTGAGACTTTCAGAGAAAAATAAACAGGGCATACATAGAGGAAAGGATATCATAATAGCATCAGAATTCTTAACAGCCTCCCTGGAAGCTAGAAGATAATGGAGTGATACTTTAAAAAATCTGGGATAAAATTATTTCTAACCTAGATTCTAAATCCAGCTAGACTACCAATCAAAAGTAAGCATAGAATAAAGACATTTTTCAAAATACAAGAACTCAAAAAAGTTTCCCCCTTGGACCTTTTCTTCAAAAGCTACTAGAAGTGTGCTCCTTCAGACCAATTGGGTAAACTAAGAAAGAGGAAGACATGAAACTTGGGAAACAAAATAGCACAAAAGGAAGAGAGCAGCTAAACCCTAATATAGGGTGGGAGGATGGAAGACTACAGAAGGGAGGTCACCAGGGAAAGATCACCAAATTATCTGATATTTTGATCATCTGGAAGTTAATATTGGTAAGCATCTAATAGATGTGATGTAGCTGGTAAAAGGATTTAGGATAGGTATATAGAAAACAAGACAAGTAAAAATAGTTATCAATTATTAACTCTAGAAAAGTAAAAGTTTTATAAGAAAGGAAAGATGACCATAGTCTACAATTTGGCTCTTTAGTGAATAATATTTATATAATCATAGTACTATAAGCAGTTGGCTCTTGATTTTATTATTGGGAAGCTAGCAGAATGAGAAATTCATATGTGTGGTGTGTCATCTACCATATGTAAAACTGATAAGTTAAGAAATTGCAGCTAGGCATATTACTTAGCAAGATGGAGGTAAGTACTAGGAGAAATAACTAGTATTTGTACTTGGTTTCCTCTGGGGAATGTGATTGGGATTGGGGAAGGGAAGCTGGAGAGTACAGGTTTTCATTCTATCTTGTTTTACTTAGACTAAAAATTAAATTATTTAAATATGTTAGTATAACTCAGATGAAACCGAAGGTAGACATAATGAAATCATTGGAATCGGTGAGATGATGAATATTGCAAATACATGTGCTTCTCCAAATTGTTCCTATCTGTAAAATGGGAGGTGATGAGGTCTAACATGTTTCACATTTAAAAGAATAATCACTAAGCAAAACTGACAGCACCATGCTAGTAGTAGGAGGCGAATGTATCCAGGAAGACCCAAGGCAAATCAGAAAGACAAAATAAGGAAGGATGTGCTATAGCTGAACTAAATAATTGGTCGGGTTGTATGTACGTATTTTAAATACCATGCCTTAAATAGAGACTACACCCAGCACCCATTAAACATTGACAAAAATTATCCATGTTATTTGCCCACAAAAGAGACCTCAATGCATTTAAAAAGAAAGAAGTAATAGAGACTTCATTTTTTGACTACAATACAAGTAGAAATTAACAACATACAGAAATACAGACCCTCCAAGCCAAAACAACACAACAAACATACTGGATATGAAAAAATGTTCTCAAAAACAACTCTTGGGTCAAAGACAAAATCAAAACCACAAGTTGAAGCTATCTAGAAAATAATAATAGAAACATTACTGTGGTGGAAACTATTGGCTGCCTTCCCAATATCCATTCTCTTCTCTCTTTTTACTAACAGAACATTGGTTTTGTTGAGAGTGTCAATGACTAGCTAAAAAACCCTACTTCCCAACCCCCTTTGCAGGTGGGGGTGGCCATATGATTAAAGTCTCACCAATAAGATGTACAGGATTATTGGTGAGTGGGGCTTCCAGGAAATCTCCTTTAAAAAGAAGATTGACCATCAGTTGGCCTAATAAGCCTTGGGCATATGTGATGCTGGATCAACCATCTTATAATCATAAGGTATCTAATACATGCTAAAGGTAGATGAGTAGAAAGATAAAAGGGGTGTTCCTCAAAAATATCCTGGGATTTATTCCAGCACTGGACTCTCTACCTCTGGGGGAAAAAAATCCTAACTGTTAAGTTGCTATTTTGGGTCCCTTTGTTAGTAGGAACCAACACAATTCCTGACACAGTCACAGCTCACAATTCATGGGAAAGAATTAAAGAATGAAAATCAACATGTGAAGCATGCAAGTCAAGGAATTTGAGACAGAACAACAAAATAAAATAAAGGAAAGCAGAAGGAAATAAGAAAGATCAAACTAAAACTCAATAAGTTAGAAAATTAAAAAAAGAAGATTGATAAATCTAAGAGCTAGTTCTGTAGGGGAACAACAGTTTAAAAAAATGGACTTATATTTTTACCTGCATAATCAAGAAACAGGTGAAGAAAGCATGAATAAACAAAATTAGATAATGAGAAATATAGAACAGATGAAATGATTTATACCTTGCAAAACTCTGTGCAAATAAATTAGAAAAGGTGGCTTGAATAGATGATTTTCTTGGAAAATATGCTACTAGATTGATTCCAGAATAGAAGGAAAACTCAAAAAGGCTCCTAACAGTGAAAGAAATGAGACAGTTTATCTGTGACCAGTTGTTACTGCTCTTTCTGCATCTCCTTTGCTGTTGGAGTCTTGCAGAGTGATAGAAGTGAATTTCTGGTGAGATAACCTCCGAGTGTAGGGCGGGGTGGGCGTCCCACCTGGTGACTTACGTGCCATCTCTGACAAGGGCGGCCACACACCAGAAAGGTGGAGGCTATGATTCTTGACCTTAGGATCCATCACAAAATAAAGAGCCCTGAGGCTTCAGCTTTTTATAACATTTTTCAGATCAATATGTTACTTGAACTGTTTTGGTAAGAAAAAACGATAATTATTTTTAATCATCTACTCTTACTGTCGGTCTCACCAACAACTGATTCCTTAAAATGTTTTAAACAGTATATCCAAAATAAATAGTGATGAAGATTTCAAATCAGGATTGTGTGTAAAAAAGGTTGAAAGGGTTGTTTTGACAGGAAAATTAACGGTATAGGAAAAAAGAAAAATGGTGACAATCAGAATGCCTTAGCTCTTAATTATTTTCATGGAAAAGTAACTTGTTCTGAAATGCTGGTAACTGGAACATTCTGTTGGTTAAAAATAAATAGCATGAAGTGTGAGGTAACCAATTAAGGAAAAAACAAAGCAACCAGAACAGCCCGTCAGCTATAAATAGAATAATGAAATTATGCCAAAGGCTTCAGGTCGTCCACCCTGAGGCCAGGGTTCAAGCCCAGTGTTGACAAACACCATGGTCAAGTGGGCTCAGGGGCATTCAGAAAGGCCTGTTGGATGAGCATTTGGCTCTGAAGTGTCCTTGCTGTTTAAAGTGTTTTGTTTTCTTTGAACTTTGAAGTTTCCCCTCATAATCTTCATTTAAACAGATGTAATTCTAACTTAATGTCCCCGTTTTACCCCCTCTTTCCCTGGCAGTGGGAACAGTGGACCATGGAGCTGTATTTCGGTGAATATCAACATGTGCAGCAGGAATACGGCGTCCATCTGAGACTCGCAAGTGAGGAAACCAAAAAATCAAGGAATTCTCAGCACTCTAAGGCAGGCTCCTATGGTGTCAGTATTCGGGTACAGGGAATTGATGGCCACCCCTACATAGTCCTGAATAACACAGAGCGGTGTCTGGCAGGCACATCTTCTGAAAACGGGCCGTCATTTCCATCTCCAATGATAAATAACCTGCCTCTGCATTCCAGCAATGGGTCTGTGCTTGAGGAGAACAGTGCAGAAGAACTGCAGCTCCCAGAAAACCCATATGCCCAACCCAGCCCAATAAGAAACCCCAAACAACCCTCTCTCTTTGAGGGCAAGAATGGAGTTCTGGAACGTAAAGAGGGACCAATGAAGCCATCCCACATGCTGAACTTCCAGAGACACCCAGAGCTTTTGCAGCCCTACGACCCTGAAAAGAATGAGTTGAACTTACAAAATCACCAACCTTCCGAGAGTAATTGGCTAAAAACCTCAACAGAAGAAGGTACCAACAATAAGAAGGCTTGGACTTGCTTTCCCAAACCTAGTAGTCCCCAGCCTACCAGCCCTCCTTTGGAAGACCTGGCCAAGTCCAACGTGACGGCCATTCGTTTATGCAGCTCTGTGGTCATAGATGACCCCAAGAAGCAGACCTCCGTGTGTGTGAATGTTCAGAGCTGCACCAAGGAGGGGCTGGTCTCAGAGGAGGCCCTTTCCCCTAGCGGGAGGCCCCCAACCGCCCACAGCCCACACACCCACCCCGAACCCAAGAAAACCAGGCCGGACGTGCTTCCCTTCCGGCGACAGGATTCGGCGGGACCGGTCCTGGATGGAGCTCGGTCTCGGAGGTCCTCCTCGTCGTCCACGACTCCCACATCGGCCAACTCTTTGTACAGATTTTTACTTGACGATCAAGAATGTGCCATTCATGCAGACAATGTGAATCGTCATGAAAATAGAAGGTATATCCCCTTCTTGCCGGGAACGGGGCGGGATATCGATACGGGATCAATTCCTGGTGTGGATCAGTTAATTGAAAAATTTGACCAAAAACCTGGGCTGCAGAGAAGAGGAAGGTCTGGGAAGCGAAACAGAATCAATCCAGAGGACAGGAAGAGGTCCAGAAGTGTGGACAGTGCCTTTCCCTTTGGTCTGCAGGGGAACTCGGAGTACCTAACCGAATTTAGCAGGAACTTGGGCAAGTCCAGCGAGCATCTCCTCCGGCCGTCACAGGTCTGCCCGCAGAGGCCGCCGGCTCCCGAGCACCGCGGGAAACAGGGCGCGGGCCGCGCCTTCGCCAGGCTGCAGGGAGCCCACCCCCGGCCTCCGCCGCAGAACAAAGATGGGCGAGTTCCAGAAAACAAAGGTGGCCAGGAAAGGTCAACCGTGAGCGCATCCTCCCTCCCGGCACAGAATAAAAAGGAGGAGGAAATTAAAACAACCACTGCTACGCTGATGTTGCAGAGTCGGGCGCCAGCAACGTCGCCTGACTCGGGTGCCAAGAAGATTTCTGTGAAGACATTTACTTCCACTTCAAATACTCAGGTAATACTCGTGTGAGTTTTTTCTTTGTCTTTTTGGCCCTTCTAAATGATCTAAATCCGGCAGCCTCATGCTGCAGGAGGCTGTAGGAATACATATCTTCCATCTTGAATCAGTAATTACACACCCAGGTTTTTTTAGGGTTTTTCTCTACAGATTGTGTCCTACTGCCAATTGTATGGTTTTCTAAATGAATTCAAGTCCACCTAGATTCCCATTGTGGTCTTGTCTGTAAAGTAACTTGTCAAACACTATAGAGAGGCTCGATTTTTTTGTTTGTGTGTGTGTGTGAAATCTGAAGGTATGTGGAATTTGTCTCCACACAGAGGTTCAGTGTCTAGATTTGTGTAGATATATCAACTTTCCTCATGAAATTGAGTGACTGAGTTAATTTCTGGCCTGAGAAATCAGGTTAATTCTAATTTAGGTTAGTCCTAAAGTGATGGAATTTATTTAAGTGGTACATTTAGTGTTTGGGTAGTAACAAAAAAGAATAGTAATAAAAATGATAATAAGAGTTGTTACGTGCCAGGCACTAAAGAGGATCACACCAACCCTATAAAGGTAGGCACCATTAACCTCATTTGACAGGTGAGTAAATTGAAGTGAGGAAAAGTTGAGTAACTTGCCCAAGGTTACAGAGCTGATAAGTGGTGGAGCCAGCGCTAATGAGGATCCTCACCTGAGGAATTGTTTTTAGAAAGTAGGAATGTGTTTGGAAGCTTCTGCTTCAGGGTTTTGTCTTCTTGGAAATGTCATCCTGTGACCTAATAACAGACATTCTGTTCCAGGCCACTCCAGATCTGTTAAAAGGCCAGCAAGAGCTCACTCAACAAACCAATGAGGAGACGGCCAAGCAGATACTTTACAATTACCTCAAAGAAGGGTTAGTGATTTTCCTTAAAGGAGCAAAATACTATCATTTATGGTGGGGATCTTAATTTCCTTTTCTGACCTTGTGTTTTGCCCTCCGTTCCTGCCCTGTGTGAGCCATTTGAGGGTTAAGGCTCTGGCTGGGGTTTTCCTAACAGCATTTAGTCTTGGGTGGTGGCGAGTGAGGAGCAGGGGAGGGGAGTGTAGGGAAGGACATCATACTTTAAAAATTAAAAATGAGTGTTTTTTAAGTGACCCTTTACTGTTTCAAAAACATGTTCAAAGATAGGAAGAATGTCCACTATTCAGTTTAATTAAGTCTGCCATCACCTGGAGTTCTTCCACACACACAATAGTAATCAATCGTCCCTTATTAGAAGTTGCAAATAAAAGCACCTCCTCCCCTTCCCAGAGTTGACATTGGCCAGGAGCCCCTGCTCCCATTATTTTTAAAGCACATATGAGTCATTTAAAAGCAGTGCTTTCCACATACTTATCTTGGAGGTTGAGTTTGAGTACTGTAATCTGGTTTTCAGTCCTTAGATACTAACTGCGCTGGAATTCGAGGTCAGGAATTTGAAGTTTCTGTTTCGGTTCTCTCATCAGATATGATTAAAAAGAAGAAAAAAAGCTTTACAGCCTAACATGACTGCAAGTCACTTGGCAGATACTCATTGGTATCAAAACACTTCATATTTTTGTATTATGCCTTATAATTATTTGTCAGTAATATAGAGCTGACAAAATAGTCAGATTCAAAATATAAAATAGGAGCTCTTTTGAACAAAAAAAAAAAAAAAGGAACTGAAGAGATTCTTCTAGCTAAGAACTAGTTACTAGTATCTCCCTGTGAAGAGTTTTACCATGTTAAGATTAAGGTAGAAGAACTTTTGATTTTTAAAATTCTTTCTCTAAATTCTTTTATTTTTTTGGCCCATGATTTACTGAGACACTAGTGAGACAGACTTTAGCAGGAGGTGCCTGTTTAAGGAAACTTATTTAAAATTTTTTTTCCTAATTGCCAGGTACATTTGATAGAAGGTGTGGTAGAAGTTAGTAAAACTTTATCTGGTCATTACCTGTGAAAGTCTAGACAGAGGGATGCTGTGTTGACAATCTTAGCTTAGGGATTTATTTTTTTAAACAAAGGCTTAGCGTGAGATTTAAAAGTAAACTGTGTGTGTGTGAGACACATGTACAGGAGGAATTCCTTGTTGGAATGAATAGAAGTTATTTGAATCAAACAACCAATTACTAAATTTTCACTGGATGTTTTCTCCAAGCTTATTTAGAATGTGGTTATGTCTGTTTCGCATGTTTGGAAATAGGAACACTTGCCTTGAATTGAGTGGTAACATATAAGTTTATTTGAAGAAAAATACACCATCCATCCCTTCTCTTCTCAGACTGGTTTTGTTTGCAGCCTTAATTAATTCATGCCTCTTGCAATTTATCTTCTTAAAGGGCTTGTTGTTTGTGTATCATGGCACACAAATAATGTATTCTGAGACGGATGGTGGTGCCCCTCATTGTTTTTTTCTGTTGCCTCTTTTCCAGAAGCACCGATAATGATGACGCTACTAAAAGGAAAGTCAACCTGGTCTTTGAGAAAATCCAGACTTTAAAGTCTCGAGCAGCAGGGAGCACGCCAGGAAATAATCAAGTAAATTGAAGTTTTGGGGTTTGTAGAGGGCATTTAACATGGAATGTGGCAAACAAATTGCTGTTTCTTCGGTATGTACATTTGGTTATTACAGCAAGTGGGAAGTTTCCTGAGTAGTGAGCAGGACCTAAGATGGAAGATCAAATTTTAAATATTATTAATTTGCACACTGTCTTTTATTCAGAAAGGTTTTAAGATATTTTATTTAAAAAATACATAAAATATAACAGGATGAAACAAATAAGTAGTGAAATTTAGAAAGGGGAAGTAAGACTGGGAAGAATGAGATGAAGTGATGGGTGAAGAACCCCAGCATCATTGTAGGCAAATTTGGAGGGTGAGTGTGAAGAGGCTTGGACCAAGCTCTGGAACTGCGGGAATAAGAAATAAGAGAATAAGAGCAAGAGAATAAGGAATTTAGACTGGTGAAGCTGACCAAGATTAGTGGAAGGGAAAGGAAGGAATGGAGTGTACCAAATTCTTTTTAAAAAACTGCCTCTTTAATTTGTTTTACTGAATTCGGGTTGGGACTTGGAGATTTTTTTGTTAAAGAAGGAGTCATCTCATGTTTGATGAACATTTACTGTATGCCAGACACATCTTGTGCCCTAAAAGGAAACAGCATTTAAGAGGGTTCTTGCTTCTGCATCTTCCCTTTCTCCCTCTGGGGGAATTCTGCCTGGACAGGAAAGAGAAGATACCCAGAGGCAGACAACAGGAAGTTTGTCTATAGCTTCTTTTTACCTTTGGAAACATATGTACAGAGGATATTTTTAGACATCAACTACCCGCTTTGGCCTGCTGTTCAGTATTCCTCTAGCACTCAGCTAACCCCTGACTGCTGCTCTGACATCTAATAGAACAATTAGTATATATATTATATAATTTATATATATATAATTTTTAAAATTATATAATTTATATGTATATACAATTTATATATTTATATTAGTATATATATTTTTAATTGTCCACTGGGGAATCTTTACATTTTACACCTTGCTTGTAGGAAAGCTTCAGGAGCTCAACATAGTTCTTAAAATTAGTTTAGGATTTTTTGCTAAAATTCTTAAATCCAGATTATCACTGTGACTCTTGCTTTTCTCTAAGGGTGCATATTCTTAGGGACAGCATATCCTTTGGTCTTTTATTTATTTATTTTATTATTATTATTATTATTATTATTTTTTTAAAACTCAAAAATGTCTGTCTTTAATATAATTTTTCATTAACATACTGCTCTCAAAACATGTACCCTGGAAACTAGTCTCACGAGATATTTCTTGAAAAAAATGTTCAATGATTACATAAATTTAAGGAATATCCTTTGGTCTTGATGTTAACATTGTCATTGTGGGTCACAGAGTAGGTGTGTCCAGCCCAAACTGGGGAAGTCAGGGTAGTCCTTCTGGGGTCAGTGACACTAATGGTGTCTCAAAAGATCATAGAATTCTCTGGGAGAAGAAGGGAAGGCAGGGCATTCTAGGGAGAGGGAAGGGCACAAACAAATATAAAATAAAAAGAGGCGTGTGTTTGCCATATTTAGGGGCAGGAGGTAATTTAGTGGAGCTGGAGCAGAGCCAGCACGTGGGGAGGAAACGCCCGATAGGAAGGACCTCAGAAATCACAGTAAGAAGCTTGCATTTCAGGCTGAAGGTGATGGGCTACCACTGATGGACTTTAAACAGGAATGAATAGTGCTATATTTGTAAAATTCATTCCTTTTGTGGCTTTTGGAGAGAGGTAAGACTAGAGGAAGGGAGACCAGTTAAGAAACTGCTGCTGAATCCAGCCAGAGATGATGAGAAGATGAATTTAGGCTCTTAGACTTCTGGCTCTGATCACAGTGCTGTGACTGCTTAATTGCCCATATTTTTCTACTCCCTTTCCCTCCCTCTTATTTTCTGAATCTGATTGTTTGCTGGCAAAGGCTTTGGAGATTTTATCTTTTTGGTGTCAGTTAAGTGATTTCCTGCGAGAGAGTGTAAGAACCCTCTCCATTATGGACTAAGACCATATTGGAAAACAGCACAGCAGGCAGAGTTTTTGTTTGGGAAAGGACAATCTACAATTTCCCTCATTGGGTTGGATTTAGATTTCTAAAAAGGATTGTTCTCATTTTGCCTTAGAAAATTGAAAGTCCTTTGTTTTGGTTGACTGTTGGGTCCTGGTCCCCTTCACAGGAGTAATTATCTCATTCCGAGTTCATCACGTACAACTCACGTCTGGATTCAGGTGCATGGGAGCCAAGTCACTGCCTTTTCTAGCTTTGATTCCTGCTTTTATCTCTTCCCCTCCCTATTTGTAGTTTTCTAACCACTTTGCTGTAGGGTTTTAGCCAAATTCTTTTGAGAGTGTCATCCTGTTATACTTATGGAAGAAAAAAATGAGATCCATTAATATTCATAGTCATACAAAAATGGTATTTTCTAATAAACTCTTTATTTTCTTTCTTTTTTTTTTTTTTGTGAGGAAGATCAGCCCTGAGCTAACATCCAATGCCAATTCTCTTTTTGCTGAGGAAGACTGGCCCTGGGCTAACATCCGTGCCCATCTTCCTCCACTTTATATGGGATGCCACCACAGCATGGCCTGACAAGCGGTGCGTCGGTGCACGCCTGGGATCCGAACCCGGGCCGCCAGCAGCAGAGCGCGCACACTTAACCGCTACGCCATGGGGCCGGCCCCATCTAATAGACTCTTTAATAAGCTCTCTCTTCATCATGTCTCCCTTTATTATGGAAATGTGGCATCTAAAAGAAGAAAGTCAATTTAGCTAACATATATGTATTTGCTACTTATATGCAGACATATGCAGAGAGTGAGGGATACACATCTCATTGGTGGTTATGGTCATTGGGTCATTACATGACCCAATGTAATGCAATTTCTGTAATAAATGTATGTACAAAGGGCCTTGGGAACATAGAGATGTGGGCTTTGGGTATAACTTCATGCAACAGATGAATCTTCAACAAATATTGATTTTTATTTTTTTATGATGTTTTATTGGGATATAACTTACATACAGTAAATTGCACAAGTCTTAACTGTATAGTTCGTTGAATTTTTCACATAGTTATGCTTCATGCAGACGCACCCAGATCAACATACAGAACACTCCCATCACCCTAGAAGGTTTCCTTGTGCCCTTCCCAATCAATTACACCTCCTCCCTCTGGAGGCAGTCATATTCTGACTTCTATCACATAAATTAGTTTTACCTTTCTTGAATTTTATACAAATAAAAGTTTACAGTATGTACTCTTGTATGTCTAGCTTTGTTTCAATATTATATCAGTGAGATTCATTAATGTCGCATGTATCAGTAGTTCCTTTTTATTGATGTGTAGTTTTCCATTGTATCACTATTCCGTAGTATACACTCTTGATGGACATTTCCAGTTTTTGGCTGGAATTATGAATAAAGCTGCTATGAATATTGTTGTACATGTTTTGATGATAAATACATTCACTCATTTCTCTTGGGTATATATCCAGGTGTAAAATTGCTGGGACATAAAGTAGGCGTATGTTTAGCTTTTAAATACTGCCAAGTGATTTTACAGAGTGGTTGAAACAATTTACGTTCCCACCAGTAATGTATGCCAGTTCCCGTCGCTACGTCCTCTCTAACACCTAGACTCTCTGTTCTGTTCCATTGGTCTACTTGTGCTGTCTTCTTGTGCTGATACCAGTTTTAATTACTGTAACTGTGTAGTAAGCCTTGAAATCTGGTAATGTATGTCCTCCAACTTTATTCTTCTTCAAGATTGTCATGCTTATTTTAGGTCTTTTTGCCTTTCCATGTAATCTTTAGAATCAGTGGTCAATTTCTACCAAGAAAAAAGTTTTCGTTATATTGGACTAGTGTTGAGATATCTGATGAAATAATTCCTCTGATAATTTATCTGGGATAAATGCTGTAAAATAAAGTTCACTGGAGTCCCGAGGGCGCCAGCATGACTGACTCTGCCTGTGAAGTCAGGGAAGGCTCTCTCTAGGGGTTGACATTTGAATTGGGTCTTCAGATGTTCAGTATTACTGCTCTGATTACATTTTAGGGCGGAAGAGAATGAAAATAAGGCATTTTAACATTTAAATTAGGATGTCTGTATAATTAATTGCAGGCTTCTAATTCTTCATCTGAAGTCAAAGATCTATTGGAACAGAAAAATAAGTTGACCACAGAAGTGGCTGAACTTCAGAGACAGCTTCAACTAGAAGTCAAGGTATCTGATTTTTCCATTATATTATTTTTTTTCATTTTTGTCTTGATTGATAAAGAATATTTTAAGCACCTTGGGTTGCCCAAGTGAAGTGAAAGCCAATTTTTTTCCCACAAGAAACATTCTTCTCATCACTGAGTAAATTCCTGTACATTTGGCTCCTGCTGGCCAAATAATTTTTTTTTTTTAAGTAACCAAAGCGTATAGAGATTGTTTGCTTTGACAGAGTAAAAGAAACCCTGTTGGATTCAGGCAGGCCAATAGGAAGCTTAAATGTATATAAAACATCTGAACTAAGTAATAGAATTAGCAGAATGAGGTTTAGCTGTGTTTGTGTTTCTCTTTTACAAGTATTACAATTCATTAAATATTTAGTACTCTTTCTAGTTACAAACTGTTATGCTTTAATTATGTAGTTTGATTTAGTTATTTAATAACATAAGTGCAAAGACATGGAGTCCATCAGAGTTTAGAAAAAGGCTTCTATGGGATTACATTGATGTATGTGGAGGTGCTTTAAAATCACACTTCTTCATGTTAGAATCAACAGAACATCAAAGAAGAGAGAGAGAGAATGAAAGCAAACTTAGAAGAGCTCCAGAGCCAGCGTGACACTAAAGTGGAAGAGAACTCCGTGCTGCAGCAGCGCCTGGAAGAAAGTGAAGGGGAGCTCCGGAAAAACCTGGAGGAGTAAGTTCTGGGCCAAGGGTCTTGCATCCGAGGTGGCCAGAACCTTTTTGTCCATTTATTACTACCCAGCCTTCCAAATATTTATAGGGGCTGCTGACCCTTCCTTTCCACCCTCTTAACCTTGTTAAATTGTGAAACTGGTGACATGTGTAGACTGCTAGGCAGAAAGGTTGATAATTTAAAAATTCTTTGTAGACCTTCAAGCATGTCTCATAAAGTTTCAACCCTTAGAGTGGATCTCATAGCAGATAAGTGAGAAGCTGGGAGCACTGAGTGGTGGTATCTAAAGACAGATTTCAAAGAGCCTGGGCCCAGCCTCCAGAAGGCACATGTCATGTGACCTCTGCAACCTCCCGGCTTGTGAATTTTGTCCTGGTTTGGTGCTGGTCTCTGTGACCAGTGCTTATACTTTTTTTAAGTCTGCAGAGAAGGGAAGTCAAGCCCAAGATGGCCCTGTCATTGTGTCGTATTAAAATCTGTGACCAAAGGATCTGAAACCAAGGTTTGAAAATGTACAGTGCTTTGAAGCCCTCTGGACATGATGGCAGCCTTAAGTGAAAGGTTAAGCAGGAGTGAAATCTAGAGGGGAATTCAGGAAAAACGACATTACATAATAAAAGCATTTGATTTCTTTTGCAATTTTGATGGTGTGGTGTTTGCTTTTAGAAGATTCTTAGAGGTTAATTTCAGAAAAGAAGTTGGTAGGACAAAAATCAGAAAATTTAGAGTATAGTAAAGACTTTACAAAATAAAAAGGTAGAATAGCTGTGAGTTTGGTTTAGAGCAGAAACTGGCAAACTTCTTCTGTCGGATAGTAAATACGTTAGGGTTTATGGGCCAATATGTTCTTTGTTGGAACCACTGAATTCTGCCATTATATTTTGCAAAAGACCATAAGCAATATGTAAATGAATGAGTATGGCTGTGTTCCAATAAAACTTGGTTTACAAAAACAGACAGTGGGCCAGATTGGCCCATGGGCCATAATTTGCTGACTCTCCTGGTCTACAGTACTGGGGGGGCGAGGGGTGGGGAGTAGAGTGGCATTAGTGAAAATATTTATCAAAAATGTTCTGTTGTTTTTGTTAATTCTTTATCTTCTATATCCAAATTCTGGTACCCTACGGTCTCCTTTTGGGGAGAAAATGTCACTGTATAACCATTGCGCTGGTTTGAGTTCTCACTTGTCTTCTTGTTGGGCAAATTAGACTATAGACATGAGTTCTTACCTGGTGGCTTTTCTGGTTTGTGATTCCTTATTCAGTGCAGAACAGAGAATGAGAGGCTTGTTGGGGCTTTAGATGACTCTGCTTGACCATCTGAAGGTCTGAAATCGGACTGGATGAAAATAAGCAGAGCCCAGGAGAGTCTGTCTGACGGGCTTCCTTCCCTGCCAGGCTGTTCCAGGTGAAGATGGAGCGGGAACAGCACCAGACTGAGATCAGGGATCTCCAGGACCAGCTCTCAGAAATGCATGATGAATTGGACAGTGCTAAACGATCTGAGGACAGGGAGAAGGGAGTTCTGATTGAGGTAAGGGGGCTGTGGGGTCAGGTGAAAAGAGAAGCCTCATCTGCTTGGAGAGGCTGAGATGGTGCTGGAGTGTGTGTGAGGGGACTGGGTCCTCGGAGCCATATTCTGTTGTATGCATTTCCTCCCCCTGTGGTGCCTATGGCTAGATTCTGTAAGAGCATCATATATAATAGTTTTTAAATATTGTCTTAGGAAAATTTTAAACCATACAGAAAAATAGAAAGAATAACACATTAACTCCCATACAGCCCCAAACCAAATGCAACGTTGTCAACACTTTACCATATTTAGTCCATTTATTCATCTGTTCATCCTCCTATTTTTTTTCATCCATCTATTCCTCTTTGATGAACCATTTCAAAGCAAATTACAGATAACACCATGCCTCATTCCTAAATTCTTCAGCACGCATCTTTGAAAAATTAGGGAATTTTCTTATAACCACAATGCCGTTATTATACTAAAAAATTAACAATTCCTATAATATCTATAGTATAACATAATTCCAATACCTAGTCCTTATTTCAAATTTGCCAGTTGTGCCCCAAGTATATTTTATAGTTGTTCCCCCCGCCCCCCCCAAGGCAGGATCCAATCAAGAATCCCACATTGCTTTCATTGTTATCTCTGAGTCCATTTATCTTAGTGTGGATAGCACTCCGCATCCCTATCCCCTACTCGCTTGTTCTTTTCCTCCCATTCCTTCTCTTCTGAAGAGACCAGACCAGTGCCCCACATTCTGGATTATGGTGTCCATTAACTTGGTTCACTATCCCCTGTATTCCTAGTAAATTTGAATTTGTATCTAAACACTAATAGATTCAGGTTAAACTTTGGGCAAAAATACTTTGTTAAGTAATGCTATTTACGGAAAACCATTTTAAAGACATTAAAGCCCATACAGCACTTATCACAAGTTAAGTCTTTATTTGTTTAAAGCCACCATAAGGCCATATGTTCCAGGAGGCAGGGTTGGTGATGGTTGGCTTAGCGTTTTATCTGCAGCAGCTATCCCACGGCCTGGGACATATAGCAGTCAGGAAATACTTGGTGGATGGTTGGATGGATGCACTATGAATGAATGAATGTATTTACTATGTACACAGGCTGCCCATCTGGCTTCTGCCCCTATCAGTATATTCACTATTGAATATTTAGTTCTTATCAATGTGAGTTAGTGGATAAGGTTGATGCTTTCCTCTGCTTAGCACTTCTTAATTATTATGGGATTTTCCAAAGGCAATTATTATCTCTTCCCTGAATTAGATTACTATCCTGTTGAGGGAGTAGATACACATACATGAAATGATTAGAGAGCAAGAATACGTTTCGAATGGCTACATTTTTTGTTGGGAATTAGTATAATGGAGGGTCAGGAAAAGACAGAACTTTCATCTCTGCACTCGTTTTAAGATATTTTGATGTTGGCTATAACATTATTATTACCTGTATTTTTGACATAGTTTTGAAATTTAGTTCCTTATAAGCTTTGATTTTTAGGAACAGCCCAGCAAATAAATGATACAATTTAGAACAAAACAAACAAACAAAAAAACCATCAAAAAATAAAGGTACCTTGTTAGTATTTAACTTTCATTTTTTACTGCTTTTCCCCTAAAGGCTTGGGTCTTTTCTTTGTCCCTTTCTTGGGGTTAAAAGCTGTTGGCTCACAAGTCCCTGTAAGTCTCAGCTGTCAACTATTTTCTCACCCCTGTCGTTGTTTGGTTTTGAGGTAATTCCCCAGGAGGGATTTTAGTTCTTGCTCTTAGAACTTAGCCTCTCTCTTCCCCAGGACTTGGCAGGAGGGGAGAGCAGAGCGCTTGGGACTATACAGCATAGGAGTTCTCATGAATTCGTTTTTCCATGGGAGGAGAGGACTCATTTCTCTTCTCCCATAGGACCATCTCTCTGTCTCTGTTTAGCCCTTTTCTCCTGGGAAGCCCTCAGGCCTGTTCTTTACTACCTGGTATTTCTCTTTTTATCCAACAATTCCTTCAAACTACCGCATTCGTGGTAATATGCTGCTTCCCGTGGCTCTGCCTTCTTCTCAGGGCTCAGAGTTGCAAAGACCAGGTACATTAGAAAGGGGCTTTGAAAGTATGTGTAATTATCACTGAAATATTATTAAAATAACATAAAATGAAATTTCAAAATGGGAGGGGGTGGTGGAAATACACATATTTTCCTAACACGGTAACAGTGATTTTTATCTTTGCATTTTCTGTTTGCCTCCCTATCCATTGATAGTTCTCATCTACCCGTCTATAATTTAGGGACAATTATAGTGTCCCTAGAGCTTCGATACCTGTTTTAGAAGTTAATTTGTCAGAGACATTTTTCCTTATTATACTCTATAGTCTTCATCTTTCTTTTTTTTTTTTAAAGCTTCAGTGCATAGTTGTGTATCCTAGTTGTTACTTTAGTTCTCTCTGTGAGCCACCACCGCAGTATGACAACTGACAGACTGGTGGTGTGGTTCCACCACCAGGAAACTAACCTGGGCCAAGGCGGTGAGAGTACCGAATCTTAACCACTAGATCACCAGGGCGGCTCCATCTTTCATTTTTTTAGGAGATAAACCACAATATATTTAATCATCCTCCTATATTTGTTCTTTCTCTTTTTTTTTCAATTATGAAAAAGTGTGGTGAGTGTTTTTTACATGTGTCCTTTTACTTCTTTAAAAAGATTTCCTAAGGATAAGTTCCCAGAAAGGATATCACTGAACAGTTTATGGTTTTCAATAAAAATGTAGCTTCACAAACAAATTTAAATAGAAGGTAAGACTTTGCCATATTCTGTGATTTCCCGTGTGGCGTTTCATTAAGTCTAAAAGGGAAAGATGTTATCTTAGCTACTGGGACGTCTCTTAAGTTGCTGAAATTTTCCAATAACTGAAACCTATAATTTTACTTGCTCTTTCCCCTGATATCTTCTGTCCTTTTAGGTTCTCTAGTTTAGCACATTTGACCTTGCTCTATTTTTGTTATCTATCTCTTTCTTCTACTAGCCAGCTAATTCAAGAACATATCATCTTTGCTTCTTCCCCCATTTCGTGCCTAACATGGTGCCAAGCAACAGAGCAAATGAATAAATAAATTTCAGTATTTAAATTACTTTTAAAATGTCACCATTTTAAAAAAAGAGAATAATTCTGAAATGAACTGTAGCTTCTTTGCCTCTTTAAAACAGTGTACCCAGCATATATGAACTGAACATTAATTAATTAGTGTATTGACTTATTCATAGCGATAACTCGGATGACGATATGAGCCTCAGTTTTGGTGATGTGTTTTCAGGCAGAGGCTGATAATGAGAGACACATCTTTTCTTAAAAATGTTCCTGATGTTGCTGGCTTTCTGGTTATTTGCCTCTTTCCTGTAACAGGAACTATATCATCTACTGCTGCTTTTCTGCACGATGAGTTAGGGCACAGTTAGCTTTTCTGTGCCAAAGTGGGTTTCTCTCCCTCTGGAAAATCGTCCTCACTGTTTTTATCATGTTCTTTGACTTGTCAGCAACATTTAAAACATGATCTATGGTTTCTATATCACTAATAAAATAGATTCCATCTCCTTGTCACATTCAATTTATTCTTCATATCTTAATAAAAAGTGGCCTGGGGGAATCTGATAACAGTTGTGGCCAAGTTTTCATGGTGTTTGGCTTAGAATAGACTCTTAATGAACATTAAACATTTCTGCTTTTGAATGTTTGGAAAAGATTGAAGGCCGTTTATTTTGTGAGGCCTGCACAATGCACAAGATTTTTCATGAAATCTCTTTTAATACTTCACATTTTGTTAAATAACATTGGGCCCCTATATAGAATCAGTAAAGTAACATTAAGAGAGAATAAAATAGTTTAAAAAACAAAGGAAGAAAGAAAGAAATAGTAGAAAATACCCTGTTTGCTTAGGGTAAGCCATATAATTGACCAACAATAGTATGACTTTGTTATTCTTAGTTAAACAATTGATGGTTCTGCATTTTTTTTAAAATTCAAGTTACAAAATGATTATAGAACAAGTTTTCAGCCACTTCTTTGTCCATAAATGCATTTCCCTGCATTCTGGGAGAAACGGGTAAACATGAGACATGGCTCTAAGTGCCGTGACAGTGGCGTTTTCCAATTACCAACCATCATCTTTGATGGGAGCCTGCAGGGCTGACAGATGGGCCTCAGTCCAGCAGAATCTGGTGGTGGTTTATCCCAGGCATTTGCCAAGATGCAAGTATTTAAATATCAGTAAAATAGTCTTGTTATGAAATTGTATTGATCTGAGGACGGACTGTGCTCAGAACTGAGGTCTCTAAAATAGTCATAAACTTCACTGGTAGTGATACTACTGAACATTATACAAAATTTAATAAAAAACTAAAAAAAGCATCGTATTTCTCACCAGCTGTGTTATACTCGCTAGGCTATCTTTCTAGAAAAAAAATTACGTAATTCTCTGTCAGCTACAATTTTGCTATAAAACCTTTTATTTACCGTTTCAATGAGTGTGGGCCAGAGATAGCGGCCCTATAGAACTTCTAGGAAGCATTTATGCAGAAGAGGGTCTAGTATTTTTCTCATTTAGATGTGGAATACCTGTGAATAGGTGGTGTGTGAAATGAAGCTTTCTGTGGGCAAAGTTACTGCTCTGGACATCCTGGTGTGTCTCTCAGTGCACCTGCTGTCAGGATAGCTACTTGCTGCTGTGAATAACAACCATGTCCCAGAGCATATTTCCTTTTTCTTTCAACTGTCCTTCTTTCTTGTCTTTTCAGATTCTGATCATGTTTCTTTGCTATAGTTTAAAGAGGTGGACCTCCTTATAGGACTTCCAGCCAGACACAGTGCTCTGTTCTATTTGCATCTAAGAGACTGAGCACAGTGTCATTGCTTGCTTCTCAGCCCCTCTTGAGTGTGTAGCTTTGTTGTCAGGCCTGCAGAAGCTGTATGATGAAGAGAAGGGGCATGGTATCCAATGTGGGTCTCAATCTTGGCTCTACCCCTTAGAAGCTGTGCGATCTTAGGCATGTTAGCCTCTCAGAGCTCCAGTTTTTTTTTTTTTTTCATTTATGAATGAGAATAATAATAGTCATCTCCTTGGATTTTTATTTTTATGTTTTTCCCCAAAGCCCCAGTAGATAGTTGTTTATCATAGTTGCACATCCTTCTAGTTGCTGTATGTGGGGCATGGCCTCAGCATGGCCGGAGAAGCGGTGCGTCGGTGCGCCCCCGGGATCCAAACCCGGGCCACCAGTAGTGGAGCGCGTGCGCTTAACCGCTAAGCCACGGGGCCGGCCCACATCCTTGGATTTTTAGAAATGCTTACCACAGTTCTTATTACGTAGTAAATGCCAAACACAGTCAACTTTTATAGCCCCCACCCCAATACATACACATTAGGTTTCTTTCTTCTGGCTACTTGCATGTATGCGACTAGCCTGGATGTGTATGGGTTTGAAAGCACTGATTCTGAATGACCAAGATTTTTTCTTGTTTTCTTTAATTGAAGTCTACAGAGAGGCATTCAGTTCTAACGGATATTTCCTTGTATTTGGAAGTTTATGTGTTTTCTCTCTCTTTGGCTTGATATAATTAGCAGTAAAGCCACTGAGGTGATGAAGTGAAGTTTTTGAAATCTCCTGTGCCTTTTGGTCTCTACTCTGGAAAACTTCAAGTGCTGCTAGGTGATATGGTGAAGTATAATCTGATTGGATTTGTGCAACACAGTCCACTTAAGCAATAGCCCCAGCCACAGATAACAACATGTCGGTGTAGAATGGACCATAAAACCTAGGTTCTTGACATGCGTTGCGGCAGTACATGAAAAGCAGCACAAAACACAGATATATCCTGGAAGAGATAAGTGTGGGAAGAGGAACTGTCTTATCGTCAAAACAATTGAGAAATGTGTGAGAGTAAGAGCAGGATACGGGTTAGAATCACAGGGGCTGTTGTGAAGAGGCTGGCAGGGCCTCCAGGAAGACGTACAGGGGTAGCCAGTAGCAACAGTGTTGGGGGGGTTCTCTGACACTCCTTAAGGAGGGGCTGGCCAGTGGCAGCAGCAGGCTGCCCTGTCCTCTTCGATAAATATCAGGACGGGATGTGTTTTCTTACGATTTGGTTATGTGTTCTGTGTTTGGTGCTTTAGAAGAGCCAGAGTTGCCCTAGTTCCCTGGATGAATCTCTTGACCTTTCATCTGAGCTTATCAATGCCTACTAGCTAGATTCTTGGAGGACTAAGTCTTGTTCTATGCAATGCAGCTCTACCCTGAGATTGCAGAGGTTCTCCTGGTTTAATGGCTGTGCATATCCTCGAGAAAAGGAAAGAGATTCTGTTCTCAGGTATATGTACTTAAGTCTATACGAACAGTTTCATCCCCTCACCAATGACATACTTCTTGAAGGGAGAGTAGCTTGTCATCTCTGAGGCCTCGGGTCCCCAGGTGGCAACTATTCCTCCGGTTCTCCAGGAGCTCCAAGAGAACAGGATGTATATTTACTCGGAAGTCACCCGTGAAAGAATAGACTAGTTCAGAATTCTGAGCTCTTCAGACTCCTGCTATACTCTGCGTTAATTTATTTATATCCAGAACAGACATGCTGCCAATATCATTGATCCATGCATCAAAAATATAATAAATCTGATCTATATCCTTCTTTTCAGGAGCTGACAGTCTAGCAGGGGAGATAATACAAGAATGTAAATATGTGGACTGCAATGTAAAAAAAGTATTAAGTGCTGCGAGAAGTACAGCTAAAGTGAGATGGGTATTCAAGAAGGGAATTTAAGGAAGACCTGTTGGAGGAGGTTATTTAGTATCAGAGTCTTGAGAGATTTTCTGAAAGCAGAGAGAGGTGGGCCTGAGAGGGAAGAAGGGTGCTCCAGACAGAGGATGCTGTGTGGATGATAGCAGAGGCCGCAGGTAGGGACTGGTTGCGGGGAGCAGTTGAGTGGCTGTTGTGAACCACCTGGGCAGGAGGTGATGCGCACCTAAACCAGGGAGGTGTGAGGGAAAGGATCTAAGATGATACGGAACTAACGGTTTGGTTGTGAGGGACAAAGACAAGAGAGGTCAAGTTTGCTGCCAAGTTCCTTAGCTCGTGAGCTCTGAGCGGGTGATGCCATTCACAAGAATAATGAACAGAGGAAGAGGAAAGGAAAGAACGTGATGAATTCACTGAAGAACATGAACCTACTGAATCTGAGGTGCCTGTGGGGCGTCAGACGGACGTGTCTAGCAGGTCATTGGAAGTGCAGGTCTGAACTCATATAAGGGTTGGAGGTAAAGGTTTGGGAGTTATTTACGCAGAGTGAATAGTTGGGAAAAAAAGTAGATGAGCTTGCCAAAAAAGAATGAAGAATGCAAAGTTGCATTCTTGGGGATCATCTTAGCTTTTGGGAAGAGCGAGAAAAGCCAGAAAAGATTGTTACAGAAAAAGTGGCCTGAGGGAAGAAAGCAGGAGAGTGTACTGTCTTTGAACTGCAAGGCAAAGGAGAATTTTAAGGAGACAGGTGGGGAGGATCAAAGAGGGGTCAAGAAAGTGAGGACTGAGAAGAGGCCATCGGGTATGGTGATTAGGAGGTCACTGTGACCTTGGAGGGGGCAGTCTTAGTAGAGTAGGAACAAAAGCCATCTAGCAAGAGATTAAGGAGTGGATAGGTGGCCAAGAAGTAGAGAAAATGAATAAAAATTATATTTCAAAAAGTTTGGTGGTAAAGCTTGTTTTTTTTTTTGGCCGTTGACTCAGGATTCTTGTGCCCTGAGAGAAAGAACATAGATTCAAGGAAACGGAAATGAACAAAATGACAGAAAAAATAAAGATAGCTGATAGAGTAAAGACTTGGAGCAGGCTGGCAAGGGACAGCTCATTGTCTGTGACATGGCTTTGGGTGGAGAAAAGGTCTGGAGTGCAGAGAAGAGCTTGAGAGGAGAGGAAGCTGAGGCAGTCGTGCCCAAGTCCTGGCTGAGTGGGAGGTGTCTGCCGGAGAGGGCGAGTCTCGAGCTAGAGGAGAGCTGAGCAGGTCTAGGACAAAGATGGCGAAGTAAAAAGAATGCTGAGTTTTGGCAGGGCATACTTGGGTTTAGGTAATGCGATTTGTAGTGGAACTTGTTGCCCCAGTTTTATGACTTTCCTCATGAACTCTTGGCGGTTAAGAAGGAGAAAATGTGAATATTGTGCCCTGCTCAGATGGACAAGTGTGATAGAAAGAGAATGGGGCAGAGTCATCCCAAGTACTAAGATCATGGATTAAGGGTTTAACCACACGCAGAGTTCTAGGGGGGTGTCAAGGAAGCAAGGCCTGTGGGAAGGAAGCAAGCAGCAGGTGGGCCTGTCCCCCGTGAAACAACAGCACGTCAAGGCCAATAGCAAGGGAAACAGACCATTACACAGAAATGAAATGAGAGAGAAAAGCCAGACATGTCCCCTCAAGGCAATGAAAATTAAATCAGTTTCTCTTTTCTCTCTCAAATTAAATCAAATCTCAAAAAAGCTAAAGACAGACATATCAAGAGGAATGGTGGCCTCTGAGAAGTGAAAGGGGAGAGGAAGAGATCGTCTAAACTGGAAGACATGTGAGGGGGTAGAGAGTGGAGGACAGGTGAGAGCATGGCGCTCGTCTGAGTGGCCAAATTGGAGAGGAGATGCAGGGCCACTTGACAAAGATGTTCGATCTTCACCTCCCCGTCCACGTTTCCTCTGTTTAGGAACTCTTAGAGGCAAAACGAGATCTTCAAGATCTGCTCATTGCCAAAGAGGAGCAGGAAGACCTCTTGAGAAAGAGGGAGCGTGAACTCACTGCCCTGAAGGGAGCCCTGAAAGAAGAGGTTTCCAGCCACGACCAGGAGATGGACAAACTGAAGGAGCAGTATGACGCCGAGCTGCAGGCCCTGAGGGAGAGTGTGGAAGAAGCAACCAAGGTGAGTCAACCGAATCAGCGCGTCAGACCGTAGAGGGTATCGGGACGGGGCAAGAGAATCTGGCTTGGGAACAGATGGCAGGGCAAGACCGCCTCTCCCACACCATTGCCAGTTGTTTCTCTTCTTTTTCCTTTCAGAGTGCAACTCAGTTTCGTCAGTTTGTTCGCAGAGAATAAGCTCAACAGTTCTGCTGTTGACCATTTTAAGTCTGTGAGATTTAGAGGCCCATGAAGTTCTGTAGCCCCTTACAGAGTGGAGCATTGTACCCCTCTAGGCGTTTCTAAGGGTCTGAGGACTAGGGCGTTGTGTGGCTTTGCTAATGGGGTGGGATTGCAGACAGGACCCAAATTTCTGGAATCCTTCACCCCTGCCCTAGCCTGTTCCTTCTGACTTGTGAAGCCTTTTGTTAGACAGTTCAAGTTCTTTTCTCAGCAAAGTTACAAGAGAGTTAATTGGCTGAATTGCCCAAACTCTTGCAAGATAATTTTTCTCTTAATTGAATTCTTGGCCCCGACAAAGACGTTCTAAATTATGTTGAAGTCTTTTGGTGCGGGCCTCATGTTGGCTGTTGAAGAAGAGAAAAGCAGTGTTTTGAAGGGGAAAATGCTTTGAAATATCATGCCATCTTTAGGGAAAGAGGGGAATTACAAAGTATAAATTTTTTAGAGTCTCTGCAATATATAGGTTAAAGATGATGAAGAAAGAACTCTCAGTATCGTTCGTTTATTCTGTGATGAATACAGTGACAGCTCAGAGCTAGTAGGCCGTCTCTCCCGTAAGCGCCATCATGATTCACTGATTTTCAATTATGGCATGGTAATTGCAAATGACAAGAAGTGAAAGATGGGTTTGTTTGTTATAACAATAAAAAGTCTGGGAAATAGACTGTTTGGGGTGATTATAACTGAGACGGTTAAAAAAAAAAGCCTCTTGTTGATTGGCCTATCTTAGCTGTTTTTGAGATTCAGTTTAGTTTAAGGGAGAAAAGCGAAACATTTAATTTTCAGTGCGTTGAGGAGACATGTCTGTTTTTTCCTTCTCATTTCCTTCTGTGTCCTTGCTAGTGGCCTTTTGTGCTGTTGCGTGATCGTGTACATGCCCATAGACTACTGAGTGAAAGGATTCTCCTCTGGACCCATCATGTCTTTATCACCTTCAGACCTCGCGTCAAAGCTCGAGTTAACATGGTATATTCATTGAAAGGTAGTTGAACATGGTGTTTAGGCATGTTTATAGTGATTTGACTATAAGGAAAATTAAACTAGTACCACATGTGAGATGCAAGGTATTTATTGGAAGCGTCTACATTCTTCACTGTCACAGATAGTATAAGTGGGGAAGGGAAACATGGTAGACAAAAGAGGATATCTTTGTTGTATGGAATCGAGATAATCTGTAGAGATTTAGGCTATTGCACTTTGACCCTTTCAAAAGTCAACACTGTATGTTAGTTCACGGTACTTTCATTAGGCCAATTCAAGAAGGACAACTGTATTGACCCACATCAGTCTGTGAAAGAAATAACAGGTGAGTTAGCCAAGACATATATCATTGTCAGAGAATGTAGGGTTTCTGAGCACCAGGAAGCTAACACAAAGGGGTTCACCTTAGCATCCAATGGGGTGCATGCCAGTGAGGCTGTTTGCCCCAGGTTATATTCTATACTGCTTCCAGCATCTTTACCTAAAAGAACAAATCTGATCGTGTCAGCCTTTGCTTAAGTAACTCGCTTGGCTCCCCATTGCCCCAGACTTAAGTTTAACATTGTTAGCATGGTAGGCAATAGAAGTCCCTTTTCTGCCTGACCCTGTCTCCAGAAAACTCCATATTCTTTTAGTCATCTCACCTCTTTGCACAAGTAGAGTGACTTCCTTCCACCTTCCTGCCTGACTAGCTTCTTTCATCCTTTAACACCCTCCCCAAATGTCCTCTCCTCTGTGAAGGTGCCCAGACGGATACCTCCACTCCCCTTGGTGGAATTACTTGCATCTTCCTTAAGGTTTCTGTTGCACCCTGATTATCCTCTACTGTAGTTTGTATCGTACCATGTTGTAATTTATTGTCATGTCTTCCGACTCTAGTAGACTCTGAGCTTCTTAAGCACAGGGGCCATTTTTATCCCTTTTCTTTTCCTGGAGTGGGAGTGGCAAACTCAAGTACATTAGGGGCCAGATAGGGACATAAATGAGTGAAGCTCTGGCTGTGCTGTTGAGGTGATGGTAGGGCATAGTGGGGACTGTGGCAAGCTGGAAAGTGTGTCCTTTGCTGTAGGGTCTGTTGTTTCTCTGCTGCAGCTGAAAGTTGCCAGTGAAGGAATGCTGGTCCCGTGTTGCTAGAGCTCTCAATTTTTAAGGAGAAGCCAGATATCTGGATGTTGCTGTGAGATCTCTTGACTTTTAAGCATTGCTTGAAATTAAAAAAAAGGAAGCACATAGACCAAACACAACCCATCAGCAGTTGACAGTGTGTGATCTTTGTACCCTGAGCTTGGCTTAGCATACAGTCACGCCTGCAGTGTCTGACGTGTAGAAGTAAGCAGAGGCCAGATTTCCCTCCTAACTGGGTTGTCAGTCTGTGCTGTGTGGTTCGTACTGGATTTTCTCTGATGATGATGTAAGGGGTCACTTAGGAAACTCTGCTATTACTCTGTGAATTTCTGTGCCTTACTTTTGAGTTCCCCTGCAGTTTCTTAAAGAGGATCATGATTGTATTTTTAGTTTTTGCCTCTGAAGGTGGTTGCTCAACAAATGTGATAGAATCATATTTCCTGGAAAAAATTCTGTCAGTTTAGTGGATGGACGCTGCCTTTTTGTTAAATTATTTACAGATTGGTATTATATAATAGAATTTTAAGATTATTAAGTACTTGGAGGAGACTGAATTAAATATAATTTTTTAATTTGGTAAAGAGTGTGTCTTAAATTTGTACACTAGCCTTTAGCCTGTTCCTGCCCCAGGGAAGGACCCACCCACCACTGTGACTAAAAGCTGATATTTCTTGAAGGAACTGTGTTGCATTAAAAAGCTTATTTCCTTGGTAAGTCTTAGGAGCCAGGGCAACCTCCTGTCATCAGTTTTTCTAACTTTTGCTGCTTTCCCAGGGCCAAAAACCCCTGAAGTGCTATTTTCTCATTGTCAAGTAACAAATATTTTATCCTGGCCTGAGCTTGAACACTAAAAGTTTAAAATTTCTAGAACATTTGGTGAAAACTGTCAAATTATATTAAGAGCATTTTACAGGAATTCCAAACAGTTACTCTGTAAAAGTGGTTTTTGTAGACCCAAACATCCTTACCTTTTTAAGAACAGATTGCTCAACAGAGGAGAATTCATGAACATCTTGGTTATGTGGGGTTTCCTCATGCTGCAGGGCGAATTGTACCTCTCCCACAGAGCATGACTGGTTTGGGTCATTAGGTGAGCTCCTTCAGTTCCCTTCCCATAGAGCAATGGATCTTCACGGTGTGTTAGAAAGGGGATTCGATCTATCAAACGTTCTTTGAAAGGATGGTAAAATACTTTGACATCTTATCTCATAACATTCTTTTTTCTGTATGTCCTTTTATACTCTTTCCAGTTTTGAAAAGGATGTGTCTTCTTTCTCCCTGGGTTCGTGACAGTGGCTGGAATCTATGTGAAGAAATAGACAGTCAATGGGGATGTGAATGACTGCCGTCTGGGAGTAAAAGGAAGACCGTCCACAGCTGTTAGCTTCTCTTTCTCATCCCTACCCCTTCCTATCTCCAACTCTTGTGCAAAAGAGAAGTGCGGACAGTATACTGTTTTCAGATTTCTTAAAGAGTAGGCTCAGCTCAAATTCCAGGTCCTGCAGGCACGTTCCTAGTTCCCTCTTGAAGCTTACAGTTTCCAGGGACCTGGTGTTATTAGAAATTTTGTTTTTGGTTTTCTCTTCCCTCTCATGCTAAGGACTGTCGTCATTTTCCACTCAGCATCCTCCATGGCCTTGGTATTTACGAGGTATTCAATGAACGTTTGTGGATCAGAGGGATGAATAGACAAAAGGGGAGATGCCCTTTGAGTCCTGGCAATCCCAAGACCAGGCATTAGACTGTTTTGGGGTCTCATTTATAAATTAAATTTTTTTCTTATGAAAATGAACAAATCTTGTCTGTTGGGAGCAATAGCATAGTATTAATGTTAATCTTGGAAAGACTAATTTTGCATCTAAAAGCTGCAGGTATTTTGAGGATGATAAAAGAGCCACTTTTATTTTTGTGTTGGGTGATATGATTCTGGACCATTAGACACTTTCAGAATGCCTGACATTAACAGTTAGGCAACAAATATCTCTTAAATGAATGCATGAGGGAGAAGAGGAGGGAAATGAAGGTGTGTGAGATATTCTTGCTGTCCTTCACTTCTCCATTTGTATTATTTTTAAATACAGCATTTACAAATTTACTTACTGAACAGTTGCCAAGTGCAATTGCCAAGTGCAAGATATTGTGCTCAGTTCTGTGAGGGTTATGAAGATAAATCAGATAGAATCTATCTTCCAGAAGATTGAAGGGGAGATCAGTAGCACTCAATCTGATTATAGTTTGTTGTTGTTAGTGCCGTTGAGTTGATTCCGAGTCCTAGCGACCATGTGTACAGCAGAGTGGAACCCTGCCTGGTCTTTTTGCACCATCCTCTCACCTTCCAGCTCTATATCAGACAAGGCTCTGCTGCTATTCATAGGGTTTTCATGGCCATTTTTTTGCGGAAGTGGGTGGCCAGGTCCTTCTTCCTAGTTTGTCTTAGTCTGGAAGCTCCGCTGAAACCTTTCCACCATGAGTGAGCCTGCTGGTGTTTGAAATATCGAGGGCATAGCTTTCAGCATCATGGCAACATGCAGCCACCACAGTGTGACAACTGATAGACGGGTGGTGTGGTTCCCTGACTGGGAAATGAACCTGGGCCACGGTAGTGAGAGCGTGGAATCTTTTTTTTTTTTTTAATAATTTTATTTATTTTTTTTCCCCCCAAAGCCCCAGTAG